CGTGCTGGCCATGTGCATGTGCGTGATGTGCGCCCACCGCCTCCAATTGCCCCAAGCAACCCGCCTGCAAGGGGAAACCTGCACTTTATCGCATTTTCCTGGGACTGGCTCGTGACCCACAGGTTGAGACGCACTGGACTAGATGTCCTCTAGCAGTCCCTTCCAGCTCTACTTCTCTATGACTTGGGAAAGTAACATAAAATAGAAGACAATAAAAAGCAAGAGAGTGGTGTTGTGGTCCCGAAGTGTCTTTTCACGGGTTGCATTCCCCGAGCAGAGGTATCCATCACGTGTGGGGGAGCAGAAGAGACAGGGGCAGCCACCACCGTTTCCCAGGGGGGCTGTAGTTCAATCATCATTAGGAAACAGACTGGCTTATTTCAAACTTAATCAAAGGAGACTTAGGGGGCTGCCTGCTAAGACATGAACCTGGAAAGCATGTGAGCGATTACCTTCCTCTGACAGCTCTGTGCCTGGCACGGGCTTTGAAATAACGTGATAATTAAAACCCAGTAAAAATTACAGTGCTGTAAAAAGGAAATTGTGCAGCCCCCATGAACTTTTATAACCCCTGTGAAAATATTGCACTCGGTAGGTTGGAGGAGTATTTTCTTGCCTGTTTAAGAACCGAAGCCCCACGTCTACGTACAATTATGCTCTAAATACAGATGGAGCTGACAGCGGCTCATGCTACATTACAAAATATAATTTTAAGGCTTGGTTCACAAGTGGCCATTCCTTTGTTTGTCTTGTGGCAGAGAGGGTAGACTTCCGAGGGCAAAACCTGGAGGGGGCTGTTATCTGGGGTTTCATAAAATGGTCCTGCATCACACAACAGCAGGTCTGGAAAGGACTTTAAGAGGTTATACAGCTGCTGCTCAAGGCAGCAGTAGATTGAGGATGTTAGACTCCTTCCTTTATGTATAGAAGAGATGTTGGTTGATCAAAACTGCCCTCACCCATGTCCTGCCTGTGTTAATCTGATCTGACCTGCTTCTGGAGTTGTTATTGTGGCTTTGGTTCTGCATGGAAGGAGACAAGACCTCTATGGAGACCCATTTTAGGGGAGCTCGGACCAGCTGGTAGCATTTTGCTGTAAATCCCAACAAGGGAACACACCTGAAGGGCTGGTTTTAGCAACATGCATAGCCATCGATTAGGAAATGGGCTGAGATGACTCTTTTTCCACATTCACTACCTGCAGGGGAGTTAAAAGAGGATGGAGCATGAATGTCCTCAGTGGGGGCAGTTGACAGAACAAGGAGCAATGGACTCAAGTTGCAGCAAGGGAATTGTAGGTTGGATATTAGGAAAAATTCTCTCACTAGAAGGGTGGTGAAGGACTGGAAAAGGTTACCTAGAGCCCAACTTGACAAGCCTTGGCTGGGATGATGTAGTTGGGGATAGTCCTGCTTTGAGCAGGGGGTTGGACTGTTGCTCTGCCCTTCTCCCTACTGGAGCCCGGGTGGTTGCTGGGAAGGTTCAGGGTGTGCGGCAGGTGGTGGAGGATGGAGACAGCAGATGGGAGGGTGAGGTACTCCTCTAGCTCCGCCCAGGTCTCACCCCCCCCCAGTAACTGGGGATCATGTGGCACTTGCCCACCTACAGTAATGGGATCCAGTGGTTAGAGACCTTCCCCCAGAGAGATGCGGCGGGACTAGAAAGTTCAAAGGTCCTGAGTGGAGAGATGCTAGTGAAGTAAATTAGCTGCGAATCTTATCTTGCCTCCACCTGCACCACACATCTGGGAAATCACTCAAAATCCTGCATTTTTCACTTTCAGTTTTTGAAGCAAGGCTCCTGAACCATTCAACTCAGCCATTTCATTGCAATGTCTCAGGCCACCGCACAGAGAAGAACCGGAGCGATTGTTATATTCACTGCTCGTCGAGACGGGATGGGAGATGCGAGGGGGCAGCTCGGAAGAGATTCTTCTAAAGAACTCACTTAGGGGGAAAACACGAGTCTCCGATGTGAAGTTTCCCTGCTGTCAACCACCCTGGCCCGGCCCAGCCAGCACTGATGCTCAGTGGGTGGACAACATTGAGATCACCTCAACATGACAACATGTCTGAGGTCACCTGGAATCAAAAAGACGAGGCAGTTTCAGATTATTAAAACTGTTCCAAGGAATAAAAATAAAGAAGCCAAACATGAACCCTTTTATATCAGCTTGGAATGAAGATAATGAGCACAAAAATATCTGGGTTGCCTTCACCTTGGAACAGCCCAGGACTTCAAGTTCAAACCTACTCACACATCACAGGAGGGCCCAGAAGCACATGACCCAAGAAGTCCTTTTCCAACCTCTTGTTGAAGAATAAGAAACAGTTTTCCTCTGGAGCATACTCATTAGGATGCATCTCATGCCCACGCATAGGAGAACACAGAACATACGAGTTACACCGACATCATACCCCACCCGCCTTGCCAATGCTCCCATCAAGCTGGGTTATGTTGTCAAGGCAAGAATGAGTTGAGATGCTTTCCTTCAGGGAAAGGGTGCTGCATGCAGACATGACTGGAAAGTTGAGAAGCTTTTATTAGACAGATGGAAGGTCTTTTCTCTCTCAGAGGGTCATCTGCATTTGCCAGAGGTTTGCTGCAACCAGCACGAGAAACGTGCCTACAGAAAACATGCCACATCAAGGGGAGGAAGGATGGCCTAGAAGAAAAGACACTGCAATCTAGTTCAGGATGCCTGGGCTTGATTCCTAGCTCAGAGACAGGCTTATTGTATGACCCTGACACAAGTTTTTTAATCTATCCTGGGCCTCAGTTCCCAACCTGGTACCCCTCAGACCTTGCGATAATAAGTCCTATTATTGGTTGTAACATGCTTGGACATTACAGAGACAGGCGGTATACAAATGCCAGGACTGAATGATAGTGTCTCATTAGCTATTGATTAGACTTCTCCAAAGACTCCACACATGGTCACCATTTAGATGGTAAGGTAAAGGCAGGACCTTTGTTTGCATATTTGTATGCTCTGGGTACTACTAATAAATTTAGCCTTGAACTTGCCCTCTTCTATAGGGGTGAATGGCATCCGATGTCCGTAACCATATCCATGTCAAGCACATCTGACAGCATCTGATTGAAGTGAGTTCAGGCCCATGAAAGCTTATGATTTAGTTTATAACGTGCATCTCTATATGGTCCTGTATGTTAAAAGAAGATTCAGCCTTCTCAGGATTGTAGCCATGTTGGTCTAAGGACAGAGGCAGACAAGGTTCTTTGGGTAGATCTCATATCTTTTATTAGACCAACTCAAATAGTTGGAAAAATTCTTCATAGCAAGCTTTTGGGTACAAATACCCTTCGGCAGGCTGAAGAAGCATCTGCAGTTAGTATGTGAATTCCTTCAGCCTTCCCATGCATTTTTGGTATTATACTGTCTTTAATCACATGCCTCCATCAGTGAATGGGATGTTATTCACTTTTCTTTTTCTTCCTTTCATTCAATGGATGGACAGACATCTTTTTTCCAGCAATCCTATTTATTCAACCCAAGGTTGCTTCTCAGTTTTAAAGGTTTGTAACTTGGGCCCATTTGGGTGAACCTTCATGGGGACAACAAAAGGTACATCCCAACCACAGGCTGATACCCTAGCTAAGCTTCAAACCGTTCCTATAGAGGATGAAGCCATCAAGTTTATTAACAAACCGAACATAAGAGCTCTCTTAACAGAGTCGCATGACGTGTTTGCCGCTAACCTTGTTCTGAAGAACAGCTAAAGCTTCGTAGCTGAGCAGAAACAAAAACAATTCAGCACACAGCATACCCTCAGCTTGGAAAAATGTAGTTCAAATAATCAAAGTTCAGCCATGTGATAAGCAACACAAATCAGGGCCTTAAAGTGTTTCATAGGTTTCATAGACATCACGGCTGGAAGGGACCTTGCGAGATCATCAGGTCCAGCCCCCTGCCCAGGGGCAGAAAGTCACCTGGGGTCAGATCACCCCAGTGTTGGGCAACCTTAACCACAAGCAACATTCAGAGCAGTAATTACAATGAAACTAATGAACAGGCCTTCCACCGATGCTAGCATCTCCAGGTTTTGGACACGCAGGCATGTCTAAAAGGCTCCACAACATCTGTACCACTGCCAGGGAACCCGTGTCCCATAAAAATATAAAATCTGCTTTTCCAAATGGGGCATGAAAGCCCGTTAACGTGGATTAATAAAGGGACAACTGGACAGTTAGAGGATGCTGAGGTTTCACCATCCTCCTTCAAAGCCTGAGAGTACCAGCTTGGACTCAACCCTAGCGTCACAGTTCAGCAACATTTCCCACTGAATCCTTTGGCAAAAACCTAAAGCTATGAGGAAATCAGAAAGACACTATGTGAATATTAGAGATGCTGTTTTGGGTCAGTCCTCAGACCTGTGTAGCCCAGAATCCTGCTTCTCACAATGGTGGAGAGCGGATGCCACGGGGAAAAGCACATAAAAACAAGGCCTAACCAGACTCATCTGTTCCCTGCACCTTTCCCCCTTACAGTTTCCAGCATTCAAAGGCCTAAAAGCCCTTATTTGGAGATGACACCCCTTTCACCATCTTCTTTAATACCCACTGATGATTCTGTCCCGTAATTTTGTCCCATCCCCTTTGAACCTGGTCAAATCATCAGCCTCCACAACACCCTGTGGCAATGAGTTCCACAGGTTAATTACAGGCTATGTGAAAAACGACTTTCTTGTGTTAGCTTTAATATGCTTTCCAGTAATTTAATTGTCTGTCTCTTTGTTCTACTATGATTCTGTAATGAGAGGAGGGATTGTACCATCAGGAGTCCTGGATCTACTGCAACAGCTGACTTTCGCAAACCCACTTCATCACCCTGCACCTCTGTGCTTTTCCCATCTGTAAAATGTTGATAATACTTCTCACACAAGACTGTTACGCTGTCATCACTTTAACAGCATATGCCTGAAGACCTTTGGGCAATAGGCAGGTGTAAAAGAATAATAATTAAAATCACAACATTTTAAGGATTCTTAGAACATCCTTTTATTTTTCCAGTTGTTTCAAGACTGAATCTGCACAAGCAGCTTTGCAAGGACAAAGAAAACATATCTCAGGACATGACACCAAACCCAGGCTTGCTGTTTCCCTTTTGAAAAGATGAGGGTAGTGTGGACTTCCCATTAAAGGGTAGAATAAACGTATCAGCCATGGATCCTCTTACCATGTGGGTGGGAGCAATGAATGGCGGAAGCAAGAAGGGCAACGAGGGTTGCTCAGTGGTGAGTTGGATATTCAGCCTGGAAGATACCTTGAATTTATGTGCCTCTTCTCTTGCTGTGCATTACTGTAGCGTGGAATATGTCCATGCATCTCTTTTTGTGCCTCTTACGGGATCAGGAGGCATCTTTTAATCTGGCAAAAAAGGCTCAGATAATAACTTTGGACAAAGAGCATTACATCTCTGAAGCTGCCCTGACTGATACTGGGTTAAGAATGTATTTTCCTCTTGCTTCCACCATTCCCCCCGGCCAGGATGATTCATGGCTCTGAGGTGTCAGAAGACGAGAAACTGAAAATGATGGCTCAGTGTGTTGCCGCTAATGACGTTGGCTCGGCACCATCCGAGATAAAAGCCAAGATCCATCAAGTCATGAACTGGCAACAAGTTCTCTTTGCAATGCGAAGAGCAGAAAGCAATGTGCCTACATATCACTGGAGAGAAGAGTAATAGGTGTGACAACTCAAATGGGCTTCCCATGCAGCGAGATCCGTGGGACCACTTCCAAGGCCCTCCAGCTCTTGAAGCAGAGGGTCGTGGTACCAGTTAATATACGTGACATCTCCATTTCTACAGTTGCAGACTAGCAAAGAGCAAATTCCCTCCCCTGGCTCGACCCCCGCAGGGCTGGCTCCTTCAATCAGAGCTCAAGGTCCAGCACCAACAGTTTAATAGAGACAGCCTGGTATAAATGTGCATAACCACACCCCCACCCAGGGTGTTAAACTCTGCCAAGTTCCCCATGCTGAAGGGAGACCAGTGTAAATGCTCTCAGCACAGTACAGTAGGGAAGCCTTGCATGATTAAATGTAAAAAAGAAACCAAAAAAAATACCCCTAGCCCAAATATCAGACTGCATTTCCCCCTGCTACTTGTGCAGTGAACACTGCCTGTAATACACCTTGCATCATTCCTTGCTATCAACTGCACAGCAGGTTTTGCTTTGGAAAAGCAATATGGCCCCTGCCGCCTTGTGTTACACCGTGGTGATCTTCTTGTCCTTGGTAGCCTGCTTGATGGCAGCCTGCTCACAGATGATCTCTTTCAGGCGCTGCAGCCTCATGTTCTGGGTAGTCTGGTCCCCCACGCCAGTCTGGCTGCGGTGGAGCAAGCTCAAGGCGTAGATGTACTCCAGCTCCGTGTACTTCACCCCCTGATCCACCACGAGGTTCAAGAGCTCATCGGCCGTGTTGTACAGCATCTCGTAGTACTGCCTGGAAGGCGAGCAGAGAAACCCAAAGTTAGTGGGACCTGGAAGTCGCCCCCCACCCAGAACTCCTTGGCACTGTAACACACTGCCATGCAGCATTACTTTGATTTGGCTTGTCATGCCTCAAAGTCTCAACCATGATCCTGGACTTCCCTGGTACAAACCACAAGACAGTCCATGCCTCCTCCTCCTATAATCTAAAGATAAGGCAAGGTGGGCAGTGTCAGGAAGAAATGGCAGAGCATCTCTCTTGAAGC